TTTTTCATGCGCAGGGTTGTAAAATTTTTTTTGTGGCGATGTCTGATGGGGGGTGTGGCGGGTTGTGCCGCCTGGCCACTGGGTCCGCTGCTTCATGGGGGGGTGGTCCCTATTCAGACACGGCGCCGGCCGCCCGCGTCCTCGAGCTCCCCACGGACTTCCTCGAGCGCGCCCTCTCTCGTTGCGACAGCACGGTGGACATCGCTGGCGTCGTGGCCGTCTCGCTGGTGTTGCGGGGGTGCTCTAAGACAGGAGGCATTCGTGTTTGTGAGTCATAGACGCGCGCTTCGGAGTACAAGTGCACCGAGGGGGGGGAGCGTGCGAGGGGCAACCCGGCGGTTAGATGCACACACACACACACACACACACACACACACACACACACACACACACACACACACACACACACACACACACACCACCACCACCACCACCACCAGCATCACCACGCACACAGCTGCACCTCCACCGAGCGTCCGCCTCATGCTCCCGCCCCCAGCTAGCAAGGCTCACTTCACCGAGGAAGCGCAACGGCACACCACCTAGCAGCCTCGGTGAAGTGCCCCCAACCCTCGTGCCCCCAGCCCTTCCCAGGCCACCCCCGGGCGTGGGCCATCAAGGAGTCATCAATGAGTAGCCATGAAGTCGTGATCACTCACTACGAGTACTCACTACGAGTAGGCAATCCGGACGGCGCACTCCGTCTCCTTGCCGAGTCGGAGCCGTCGGCGCGGCTGCGCGTCGCGCGCGCGGAGATGGCGCCGGGCACGCTGGTCAAGGAGACGTCGGAGGCCGAGATGTAGCCGAGATCTAGCCGAGATCTAGCCGAGATCTAGCCGAGGTGCAGCCGAGATGCAGCCGAGATGCGCGCTGGTGAAGGAGACGTCGGAGGCGCGGGGCAGAGCTTGCGCCGGCTCGCCCTGTCCCGGACGCGTCCATGCCACGCCCGCGACACGCCGCCGTAGGAGCTGCTGCTGCGCCGGCTCGCCAAGGGGATCGACGAGCTCGAGGCGGCGGCGCGCCGCTCTCGCTGACCCGCGCGCCTCACGCCCCGGCAGCCTGCGGGGCCGCTCGCCCTGGGTGGTGAAGGCGGCAGCGCCGCTCTGCAGGACCCAACTGTGTGCGGCCGAGCCGTTGTCCGTCTCTAGAGTCTCGTCGCCGAGGTTGTGCTTTGTTTGGTGGAGGCATCCCGGCCTTTCCGTCGGTGCCACGGTGGGTGGGTCCCGTGCGGCGAAAAGAGATGTTTCCCCCACAGCCAGAGCCACACGCCCGGAAACGGGCAGGAGCGCGCCCCCACGGCAGTCGGCACAATGCACTCGCTTGCTTTTTTTCGCTCCAGTCCTGCGGATCTTCATAATAGACCGGAGCGCGGAGGGGTACGAAGGTCGAAGCCTTCTGAAGCGTCTACACGGCTTTAGGGACCGAAAACTCACCTCCCCCCTGCGGCCTTCTCGTTTTCGTGCCAAACGAGCGCGATCTCGGCCCGCCGTTGTCCGCTCGCGCCGGCCGCCCATGCGCTCGCGGGGCTGCCCGACGGGGCTGGCCTAGTCTGCTCCGGGGGGGGGGAGGGGGGGGGTCTGCAGACCACCCGGCCGAACTTCAGAGTGGCGGTGCTCCTCAAATACCGCTCAAACGCCCACGGTGTTGTTGAGGGGACATATGCTGATGATCATGGCCCGATTGGTTCGCTCAGAAAGCTTTTCTGGGTGGTCGTTAAGGTCCCTCGGGCCAGTTCGCGGGGGCAAACCCTGCCCGCCCCCTAGAACCCCGGGTAAGGCCCAGGTGTGGCCTAGGGCATCAGAAGGGACCAAGAGGAGTCCAGTCTGAGCCATAGAGCCCATGTCTTTGCCCCCGAAGGTCGCGTTCAAATGCCCGGAACGGCCGTCTCAGTGGTGTCCGGCCGGCGCGATCACCGAGCTGTGACGCTCAGGGAAGACTGATGAGGTGCTGGTTTCTTTGCCCAGGCCTGGCCTCCCCCCAGGCTGATCAGCTGAGCAAGGTTTGGGGAGAATCCCCCGT